CAATAACTCATACTGAGACAAGATTTTAATCTCAGCAAAGCTTTGGATAATCTGCTGGCACCTGTGTTTGCTGCTCTTCCACCTCATTGCACTGCTTAGATTGAGGACCAAAGGTTGGATCCTGCAAGTTGGTTTCTGGCAGTGGTCCTGCTTATGGAAGTAAGAGCCTTGGCAGGTGAGAGTTTAAAGTTTGTTAGGATCTGCCCCCCAAAAGTGTCACCTCTGAGGAAATGAGATCAGTGTCATCGTATTTTATATTCCTTTGGAGCCTCTTATTCTCTTTGTGAAGTACTGCACTAGTCGGCATTATTTGTTGTGGTACATATCATACCAATACATTATGCTGAGTTGCTTGAGGAAAAGGTGTGAAGTACGGGCAGCTCTGTCCAAGGGAAACAGGTAGAAAAGTATTAGCTAGGATGACTTTTGAGAGAATTTAGAAAGATTTTTCAGTGTACATTTAAGCTTCTGGACACATCAGCTTGCTTGTGCTTGCACAATACAAGCAAGCACAGATGTTTTCGATACTATGCAGATACCATTACAGATTCCATGGAATCTTCTTGCTGCTGAGGCCTCTGTACCTGACTAAGATATGAACTCCATCTAACCAGTGTCACGTTTGTAAGAGTCTCTGCATCTCAAGGATAGAGAAAGAAATGTAAAAAACAAAAAGGTTTTACACATGATAATTTGGGCACACAGTGAATGGTGCTGTAAAAGGACGTTATGTGGCTGGGCATAAGAAAAAAAAGATGCATCTTACGTAGGTCTCATCCCCTTAAAAATGAACATTATCCATCTGGAAGGGTTAAAAATAACACCAGATCTCTCTCCTCCTTTAATTCTGTGATTCATGCCTCCCATTTTAAAGTCTACACCCTGTGAAGAGGAGGGCATTATCAAGGAAAGGAAAGAGCCTTGCCAGGGACAGAAGGTAATTTCCCGTAGCAGGTGCATACAGCAGGTGGTACACAGTGTACCTGCAACGAAAAGGTAGATTTAGGCTAAGATTTTATTTAATATGGAAAACTTATTGCATCCTGAGCCACTACTGGGGATGTGCCAAAAATCGTGTCTGCAGCATGATTTATTACGTGAAAATACCACTGAACTAATCAGTGGAGTTACTAATTAATACAAATCTGCATTTTTGCATAAGCAATTAGTGCAAAGAGAGTGCAATGAAAGAGGAAGTTTGACTCATTTAATCTCAGTGTCTATTCAAGCGGAAAGACCCACTAGGGTAAGGCACTAGGATCTACATTTGGATTTTTTTTTTCCCTTTTGATTAGTTAAAGGAACTAAAAGGTCAAATTATCAATATTTAATTCAAATGGAAATGCATTTGTTCAAGAGGAAGGAAAACACTTTATTTAAACAAGGTGGGACTCTGGGGGTAAATGCCTGCATCAAAAATAATTAGATTTTGCAGTTCTAACAGCATCTAAATCCCGTCTGATAAGAATCCTTTTTCCTAATAACAGAGGTGGTTTGACACTGACAGCAAAGACTGCTGATGCTATTTAAACTCTAGCTCGGGCGGTAGCTGGCCTACCAATACAATTTAGACATTTGCTTTAATGGTATGTACTTCTCTGATTTGTTTTGCTGGGGGGTTCTTGTGTTTTGGGTTTGGTTTGTTTTTTTTTTAATCAATTTGAATTATATTTTAAATCTATTGTGATTTCATAATTGTGTGCACTTGACTAAAAGAGTCATTTAAAAAGATGATAATTAAAGCTTGGTAGTGATGTATTTTCCATTAACTAAATAGAAGTTTACATTTATAGAATTAAAAAAAAAACAACAGCACTTCTCTAACGGGGGAAGGCTCAATAACATTAATACACTGAGTCTTAAGAGGGGGGACAAAAAGCCGAAAAGGCACCTTACTCGTTCGAGCAAATTTCGAGCCCAGCTGTACACGTATGACAGGGAGACGGTCCAAGGTGCGGTCCAGACGCACCCCAGCACCACACCGGCGCCAGAACGGGACTTTAAAGCGTCTGAGCCAGGGTAGCTGGAGCAAGCTGGTTGCTGCTCGGAGCGCTCTGGACAGCATGAGATGGATGCAGCTGCCCTCCTCTCCCAAGCCCTTATTTGCAGAGGGGCAAGCAGAGGAGCCCTGCAATGGGGCCGGGCCGGCAATCCCGCCCGGCTCCCCACGGCGGCTCCTGGCCTTGGCACCGAGGTGCGGTGGGACGGGTGAGATGCGACAGAGAAGCTGCACCGACGGGGGCCGAGGGGGCATGGGAAGCGGCTAGGGACACCTTCCCTTGTGTCTTAGTATTTTATTTATTTATTTTTTAATTTAGGATAACCCTCGAGCCTTGTGAGGGTGCCTCGCTGGGGAGGGAGGGAGGGAACGGGAGCCATGGCAGCGAGAGGAGCAAGCCCAAAGAGCCCGAGCTGCCCAGGCAGTAAATCACTCGCTAAATTATAAGCGCGGCTTCCTCTCTCCAATAGCTTTAAGCAATCTGGGGAGGCATCCTTTCCCCGCACTCTCGCAGGTGCAATATGAATCAATTATCTTAATTAAGATAATGCCGCAAACCCAAGAGATTTCCTCGGGAGCGGATTTCGCGCTCCGGACAACGACTCTAAGGCGTTTGCACAGCGCTGCTCCCCCCGCACCAACTCCCCTCTACTCCCAGCTCCCGCCCGGCCAGGCCGGGGCTCAGTTCCGGCAGCGCCCCACGCCACCGCCCGCCCCACCGGGCCCCAGCCGGCATCAGGGCTTCTCCTCCTGCCGGGGCCCGAGGCAGCAGATGAGGCGGGAGCTGGCGGGGCCGGGCCGGGCCGCGGCTTTGTTGGGACGCGTGCGGTTCGCGTGCCGCGCTGCGGGAGAGGGGGGGGAGAGGGCGAGGGCAGGGAGGCGGGGGAGAAAGGAGAGAGAAGGAAAAGAAAAGGGATAAAAGGCAAAAATAACAGAAATAAAATAAAAGAGGAAAAGGAAATAGGAAAAGGATTTTTTTTTTAAGAAAAAGGAAAATAATAAAGGAAGGGAGAAAGGAAAACGGAAGGGAAAAAATGAAAAGGAAAAAGAAAGAGGATTAGGGAGGAAAAATAAGCAGAAGCCGAATTAGAAGCCAGATGGAGAAGGAGGAGTCTGTAGGTCAGGGAGAAAAAAAGGCACGCTTGGAGCGATAAAATCAAGCGGCTGGGGGAGAGGAGAGGCAGGAAAGGTGGGAAACTGGAGCCGCGGAGCCAGAGGACGGCCCGAGCGGGGAAAGCAGAGCCGACTGCCTGAGACATCGAGAGGAGAAGCAGCTGGAGAAGCTGCCGAAGTGGCCAGAGGAGCGGGAAGGATGAAGCCGGTGCGGCGGCGAGCCTTGCCACAACGGAGCACAGCGCCCGGCCTCGGCCCCGACGGGCTGCAACAGGGAGCGCCTTGTACCTGCCGGACAGGCTCTTCCACGGCCACACGTGTCTCTCGCCCAGCGCCGCCGGGGAGGAACCGACCCCCCTCGGCAGGCTCTGGCCCTCCTGCGTCCCCGCCTGCCTCTTTGTCTGCACACTTAGCTGTCTACCCACAGTTTGTTGACTTTATTTTGCTCTCCGGGAAGCTGTTTGTGTGAACGCTCCCAGAGGCACACGACCACCCCGAAGCTCTCACCGTCACCGGCATTCAGCTTCCTCCCGGTGTCCTTTGCCTGGTGTTCCCCCCACGCTCCCGGATGTATTCATAGCCAGTCCCATCCAAACGCGGGGGACATTTTCCAGCAGCTGAGACGGGGCTGGTCCAGCCCCATTCTTCTCCCTCATACCTGTCCAACCCTCACCGCTTCCAAACCAAGTCCGCTCCGGCAGCGGGGACTGGCGCTCCCGAGGGAGCGGCGGGCCTGGCGGGACACCCTGCCCATCCTCCCGGGGCTCGGGCATCCTCCGGACCCGAGCCCCTACCTGGGGGCAGCTCTGCGGCCAGAGAGGGGCTCGCTGCAGGCAAGGGCTGCCGGTAGGCTGGCAGGCACCGGCGCATTCCCTCCGGCCGTGCCCCAGGGAAGAGCCTCAGCCGCCGGTGACACGAGCGCGCCCTGCTCCAGCCCGGCTGGTCCGACGCGACAGCCCCTCGCCTCGCACAGGAAACCGGCCAGCTTGGAAGTAACAAAACGCAGCCCGTTGCCCTCTGTGTTTGATTACCGAGGAGGCAAACATCACTACCACTACCACCACCACCACCACCACCCCCCGGAGTCCCCTCCCGCCGCCCCGGCAGCCCCAGGGCTATGTAGGTCACGAACGGGAGGGAAACGTTTTAAAAATAACCCGACCTGGAAAAATATCTTTCAAATCTGTCTCCGCAAGGCGGAATTACAGGTTCCGTACGAGGCGGTTTTAATTACGGTTTAAAATTATTTCAATTAAATCTCCAGATAAAGCGTGCCGGTAGCAAAGTTCCCCCCGTCACCCTGTAAGGGGGTATCTCCCCCTTTCAAGCACAGCTCTATAACTCGCTGGTGTTTGCAAACTCCGCCGGGGCGTTTAAAGACTTTAAAGCCGCCGCTCAGCATCTTTAGTTCAAACTCCCCTCGTTAACCGGCGGTAATTCCATCAAAAACCCGGGGAAAGCGAAACACACCGAGGGGCACAGCAGCCCAGAAGAACCACAGCGGGGGAGTCCCAGGGGGGTCAGAGGCGCCCGTTAGGGGCGAGGGGAGGTCGCACCCTCGGAACAATGGGAACAATGCGGCTCCCCAGCGGCGGAGGGGCTGGCGAGGTGCGGAGCTCAGCGGCACCGCTCCGCACCTCGCCCTCTCCGTCGCCGCCTCCGGGGGGCCGCCCGGTGACAGATGGCGACTCAACGGCCGCATACAAATAAGGGGTGTAACGTAGAAGGGGGGGGTGAAACGACGCCCATCACCACTGCCGCCGCGCCTGACGTGGGCAGCCATATGGCGCGTGCCACCGGGCGGGGCGGGGCGCGGGGCGGGGCGCAGGCCCGTTTTGGGGCGGTGGCGATCGCCGGGGTACCCGGGTCCCGGTGCCGGCCCCCTTCCCGCCGCGCATTCTCGGTCCCGCTATATAACGGGAGGAGCCCGGCGCTGCGCAACCTCGGGAAAAAAAAAACCAACCCACAACACCAAAACACACTGCTCGCACGGAGAGCTGTGCCGGGGTTATGAGACAGTCACCGCGCAGGAGAGGCTGAGCAACAGAGGTAACGGGAAAATGGGTTGTTTCCGCACTCCCCCATCCCTCCGAGGGAAAGGGGTTAGCGGCGGCTACCGGGGTGGGAGAGGAGTCTGCGGGGTCGAGAGGTATAGTCGCTTGCGGTCGCGGGAAGCGACGGTCGCTCCCACCGGTGCGTGCGGGCAGTTGTGAGTGGGCACACCTGTGTCCGTCCATCCGCGCGCACACATGTGTGTGTATACACATATATGTATATGCACAGGTGCGTCCATACACGCATAGAAATATGCATATGTGCGTGCACCTGTGCGCACATATATTATACATGTATATGTGTTTCCACCTGTGTCCCCCCAACTTCAGCTCCCTCTCCTCCGCAAAGGACAGTCGCACGGCTGCCGGGCGGCATTGTTCCTCCCCAGTGTGCCCGATGCCACCGGCGGACGGTTGCAACCCCTCCCGCAAGGGCCCCGCCGGAACCAAGGGGACGATGACGGTCTGCTGTGGACAGGGTGATGGACACGAAAAGCAGGGGCTGGTCCCGCACCTGTTACCGCCGCTCGGCACAACCCAGCCGCGGGCACCCAGCGGCAATCCTGCGAGCGGCGGCGGGACCGGGAGAGGCTGAGCAGTGTGGGTCGGGGGAGCAGATGTCCTGTGCCCGTCGGGGCGGTGCAAAGCCCCGTGCAAGGAGGTGACGAAGGGGAGCCGCAGAAAGCGGCGGCGGCAGGCTAGAGGGGTGGCCATCCTCCCCTGCGGGTGTTCTGTGCGTGTTCCCCCGCCTTTTCCCCTCCGTATTCATCAAAAGGGGTGTCATTTGGGGTGGATATTTTTGTGTGTTTTTTTTTGTTTGTTTGTTTGTTTGGATTTTATTTTTTTTAAACCTTCCCGGTCTGCTGTCGCCCTGCCGCCCGGGCTGCCCCACGCACACGTAATCTGCTTATATTCCCCACTAATATCAGCGAGTTACATAACGGCATTGGAACATATGTCAACTTGATTATAAGGCAGGACCGCGGAGACAATTGAAACTTTGCGCTGGCACCGTGGGGAGGCCTGGGCTTCCCTCGGGAGGGGACAGGGGGAGCAAGGAGGGGGGATCGCGGGCAGCTTTCCCCCCCACCGCGGGTCGTTGATCGGTGCCGCGGCTGCCTGTTCTGGTGCTGACACGGCTCTTTTCTGTCTCCTCCGCGACACAGAGGCTCGCCATGACCAAGTCGTACAGCGAGAGTGGGCTAATGGGCGAGCCCCAGCCCCAAGGCCCCCCAAGCTGGACTGACGAGTGCCTCAGCTCCCAGGACGAGGAGCACGAGGTGGACAAGAAGGAGGAGGACCTGGAGGGTCTGCACGGAGAGGTGGAGGAGGACTCTCTGCGGAACGGTGAGGAGGAGGACGAGGAGGACGACTTGGACGAAGAGGAGGAAGAAGAAGAGGAGGAGGAGGACGACGACCAGAAGCCCAAGAGACGTGGCCCCAAGAAGAAGAAGATGACCAAGGCACGTATGGAGCGTTTCAAGCTGCGGCGCATGAAGGCCAACGCCCGGGAGCGCAACCGCATGCACGGCCTGAATGCAGCCCTGGACAACCTGCGTAAGGTGGTGCCCTGCTACTCCAAGACGCAGAAGCTCTCCAAGATCGAGACCCTGCGCCTGGCCAAGAACTACATCTGGGCACTCTCCGAGATCCTGCGCTCGGGCAAGAGCCCCGACCTGGTCTCCTTCGTGCAAACCCTCTGCAAGGGCCTCTCGCAGCCCACCACCAACCTGGTGGCCGGCTGCCTGCAGCTCAACCCTCGGACCTTCCTCCCCGAGCAGAGCCAGGAGGTGCCGCCGCACGTGGCGGCGGCGGGGCCGCCCTTCCCGGCTCACCCCTACCCGTACCAGTCGCCGGGGCTCCCCAGCCCGCCCTACGGCACCATGGACAGCTCCCACCTCTTCCACCTCAAGCCGCCGCACGCCTACGGCGCCGCGCTGGAGCCCTTCTTCGAGAGCGGCCTGGCGGAGGGCGCCAGCCCCGCCTTCGACGGGCCGCTCAGCCCGCCCCTCAGCGTCAACGGGAACTTCTCCTTCAAGCACGAGCCGGCCGCCGACTTCGACAAGAGCTACGCCTTCACCATGCACTACCCGGCCGCTGCCGCCACGCTGGCCGCCGCGCCATCCCACGCCGCCATCTTCCCGGCCGCCGCCTCCCGCTGCGAGCTCCCGGTCGACGGCCTGGCGCCCTACGAGGGACACCCGCACCACGAGCGGGTCCTCAGCGCCCAGCTCAACGCCATCTTCCACGACTGAGCCTCCCCCGACCCGCCGTGGGACGGGGAAGGGAAGAGCCGAGCCCGCCGGCGGCCACCGCCTTGTTTGCAGTCCTCGGAGCGACGCTGTAAACGCGGGGCAGCGGCACCGGGATCGCGCCAATTACCTGATCGGGATAACAAAATCACAAGCAATAATTAGGATCTATGCAATTTTTAAACTAGCGATGGGCCAATTACAAAATATATATGAAATCTCTATTTTTCAACCGACGTTTTACTACTTGTTACCTTTCCCATGCTGAATTATTTTGTTGTGATTTTGTACAGAATTTTTAATGACTTTTTATAACGTGAATTTCCTATTTTAAACCATGCAGCTTCATCAATTTTTATACATATCGGAAAGGTAGAATTATATCTAATTTATACAAAATTATTTAACTAATTTAAACCAGCAGAAAAGTGCTTAGAGAAGTTACGTTGCCTTAGCACTTCTTTCCTTTCAAATAGTTGAAGAAAAAAAAAAAGAAATGCACAATCCAGGCAATTTCTTTCCCATGAAAGTCTCTTTTCTTTTTCTTTTTTTCCTTTCCTTTTCTTTTCTTTTTCTTTCTCCCCCCACCCCCCCCAGCAAGAACCAGATCCCCTAGGTCTTGAGAAGATATAAGAACGAGAGACTTATTTTCTATTAAAACATATCAATTCAACACATTACTTGCACAAACTTGTATATAAAGATTATAAGCAAATGCCAACACCCTTTTTAAATCAAAAGCTGCTTGACTATCACATACAATTTGCACTGTTTCTTTTTAGTCTTTGAAGCCCTTGGCATTGCGTGGTTTTTCTGAAGAGAACTTGAAAATGTTAATGTTTCCAGGCGATATAAATGCATGATTTTATACATGTTCACACAATCCGTGGTTGTCATATGCTCATCTTTTAAATCGGAACCTAAAACTAATCAGGTTGTTAAAGTCGGGCTATATACCTATTGTAGTCGATTAGTACGGTAGCTTGAAACAAATTCAGACCATTTAATCCGTAATTAGAACAATAGCTATTGCATGTACAATGCAGTCCAGAATAAGTGCTGTTTGAAATGTAACGCTGGTTCAACTGGAATCAATCTGTACTGTAATTTTGTTTGTAATCCTGTATATTATGGTGTAATGCACACTGGGATTTTAGGAAAACATCCATCCTTTGGCAACAACATAGTATTGAACATTTGGTCGAATGTTGCATTTCTCCTTAAATGTGATTATTATTTTTTTCTTAGTGTAAGTAATTCCTATGGGATTATTGTTTTATTCGGATAGCTCATGAAAGGTGCAACACTTATTATTTGTAGAATAAAATTGGACTAAAAAAAAAGGGACATGGGTTCTTTACTTACCTTGAGGGGTTTCGAGAGAACGAGGGAAGATGGGGGCGGGATTTTGTTCCTTTACTTTACAGCGGAGCGGGCCGTTTGCAATGCTGAATTGTCGAATTAGGGAAACAGGGACCCGAAACGCCGCTCGCCAGGGAGCTGTGGGTACCGGTTTGAGCAGCGCCGAGTGCCCCGCGCTCGCCCCAGCTCAGCCCCGTGTCCCCTCTCAAATTACGGAGGGAGCGCCCGTCCCGTGATACCGGCGCGGCTTCCCGCGCCCAGCCGAGCCTGGCACACAGGGAAAATGCCGTTTCAGCCCCGGCAGCAGGTGCTCCTTCCCCCGCCAGCCAGCCCTGGATCCGGCGCTATCGATTCGCCGTCTCCCCTCCTCCCAGACGGGAAACATGTGTTTCTTTAATCTTCACTGATTATTCTGGGGCTTAAGGAACCCAGAGACACAACCTGCGGGAGAGCAATTCCCCTAATGACCAGGAGCAATTAGCAACAGGTCTTTGCCTCCTACGGTCAGAAGCAGACTAAAGAGGTTCCCTGAAATACCTTAAATGAAGTCTGTCACAAAGCGGAAGGGGCTTTCATAAATATTTCACTTAAATCCAGCAGAAAGTGAACAGGCTCTCCTGTGGGTGAGAGCATTATGTTTTCCTAGAAGAAATCAAGCTGAAGTCTATTTTAAAGGTGTTTATAGCAATGGAAATCCAACGCGTAAGCGTTGCAAACCTGCACTAGTACTACCTCACCCTTGCTTCCGGTCTTCCCTACTAAAAACATGACAGGAATTCATTGCGACGCCGGTTCTGCCCGAGCTCGCAGTTCCGTACTCCCAAACTGTTGCTGTATCTGAAAAGCTAGCAGGCAAAAGCCAACTTTTCGAGCACCCGATGAACCTGTCCTAGTCAGTGGCTACTCAGCTAAATATATCCTGGGTAAACGGAGGGAGGGAGGGAGGGGAATGAATGACACTTTTCAAGATAAAATTGAAAAAGGTGACCCAGGCTTGCTTGCTTTTTTGGTTATGTGCCTTCTTCTTGAACATAAGGATTCTTCTAGTCAGTCAAGGGGCAACTCGCATGCCACCATCTTTTATTCAAAGGCAGGCACAGATGTTCCTTCTGCAGGGGAGGTTTTAATTTATGAAAATTATATTGTTTATGCATGAATGCACTCTGCATAACACACAGTCCTTCCATCTGATGAGAGAAATACCACAGAACCAGTGCCAATGCCAGGAACATATTCTGCAAATTTAGACGCTTAAATGTTTAATGAATATTTGGAAGGCATTTCCAAACCACAAGAAACCTTTTCAATTACCTTTACTTTTTTTCCATGATTAATAACAAAATTCAACTCCTCTAGCCAGTGCAGTTTACTTAAAAGATCTGCCTAGGCTATCTGAACATTTGCTACTGTCATACAGTAGAGAGAATGATATTTTAATGTTAGGAGCAACCTAATAAGGAAAATTAATTAGGCATCTTGGTAACTACAGGCTCCATTTTACAAATTACTTGTGAATTTTGTTATTTCAATTAGTTTAGTTCCTCCCCCCCTTTATAAAATATTTGAGATCTTCTCCCCCACCTATTGCTGCTGCTTCTGATGCCTCTGTTATAATTTTCTCACTGTTAATATCAAGCCAAATCTTAAAATCTCTGCTCATGACTCCCCCACAGGAAGGTCTATCAAGGTCTCTTTCAAAGGAGAGAATTACTCACACTGTTCTTCTCCTATGAACATATCACTAATTACCTAAGACTATAGTAGGATTATCCAACTTCCACATGCAGAGGTAACTCTGGGGTTGTGTTGTATCCACACACGTATTGGGTCACTCAGTACAGGCCTAGGACTCTATTTTTACTTGGCTTGTTGGACTTCCCCTTCTTTATGCTCTGCTTCTGACAGCAGAAATTGTTCTGCCACCAGGGCAAGCTTGAGAAGACCCTGATAAAATCTCTACAGGTACAGCGCATGAGTAACAAGCACAACTTGTTGTTTTTCCTTTCTTAGTGATCTGAAGCAAGAGTAGAATGTCTAGAGGTTATGGATCCATCATTGACCATGATACAGCTGAGGCCCAGCTATGGCAGAAGGATCTGAAGTGGTGGAATTACAGGTTATTCACACGATGTCTGAGAGACTGAAGCCTCAGTTTTTACCAAGCCAGAATGACAAATATGCCTAAACAACATCAGACTTTGGCCTAGTGCCTTCAAGAGGACATCTTAGATGAAGGGAAGTAGATTCAAGGAGAACCAAGATTCCCAAATTCACCAGAAAAAAACAACAAAACAGAGCATTGCATTCTCCAGAAGATTATCTCCCAGAATTTTAATAAACTAATATTAAAAAGCAGCACATAATTCCAGAGGTAATAGGAATTAATAGAAATAATTCTAAACTAAGCCTTGAGAACATGTAAATCAAGTATCTTCTATCATCTGTAACAGTAAAAATTCTTGCAATTAGATCAATATAGTAACTGATCAAAACTGGATCTACCACGACCTTAAAAATTGCTTTTGACATATTAAAAATGCGTTTCCTCATTAGAAGACCATATAGTTCTGTAATAAGAACCATTTTGTCAAAGTTTTAAATTCCATTCTTGTTTATATATGAGTAAAAGCAAAAAACACTCCCACAAACACACACAAAAAAACCCCAAACCCCCAACCAGCCAAACAAAACCCACTCAGTTCTCACTCATTCCTATTGAGAAAGAACATGCAGAAATGTATTTGGAGTTCTGCCTGGTGCTCTATTAGGGAAAACAGGCAGAAATTGTTCTTTGGTTTTATGGACCAGCATGGGTTGTATGGTAATTATTTCGGAAATTATAAATGGTCTGTTTCCTTAGCTGAAAATCCCATATTACAAAATATCCCTTGAAAAACATGGTACATGAATACATGTCAGAACAGCGAGCTGAATATCTACAAATAGACTGTTAAATATGTACATAAGTGTTTTTTAAATAATTCATATATGTATTTAACAAACTGTCAGAAGATATGCAATACAAAATTAAAACTGACAATGCTCTCAAAGCATTCTCCTAAGCATTTAGGTTGCCTACAGGGTATGTAAAACAGAATATCAGCTCTGGCTTTCAGTTTCCTAGTTTGTAGTAGTTTGCAGCACAGATTTAGTTGCTTCTATTTAATTCATAGAAGAAGCAGTTAAGATTTACACTATTTGCCAACATTTTGGTGATAGAACAACAGAAAACAATTTTCAGAGTTTAACTTCATTACCTTGAAATGACAGCATGTCAACCTTAATACAAAGAAAAAATAAAGCATCCTCTAATCAACAGATTCTCATTTTTAGATTCCTTTCAATTACCACATTTTCCCCTATTGTTCTCATTAAGACTGTTTTCAGGTCGTGATGGTCTCAGGAATGACTTAAATTTCAGACTCCATTCTTACAGCTTCTTATTCCTGCCTAATAATTACACTTCTCCTTGCAGGGATTTGTCCATCTCCAGAATTTCAGACTTTCTTTCTTTTCCTTACCTGCTTTTCTTTCTCTTTTTTTTTAATGCTTTCCTTCTCCTTTTTAGACATATAAAAAAATGTTTAGTAAAAGTAATGCTATCTTCCACAGATAATTGATGCCTTCAAAATAATTTTTTATTTCACTTACTCTCTAAATTCTGGTGTTCTGCTTAATGCCTCTTCAAAGAATGTAAACTAATACAACAGAGTTGAATTAATATTGAGAGCTACAAATTTTTTTTCCTAGGGTTAGCAATGTAAGAAGGGAACAGGCTTAGAAGAGCTAATATTTGGAATTAACAGCTGAAGTATAACTGAGTACACATTAAACCTTCATTGTACAAACAGACACTGTAGCCAGAAAAACATACAAGCCAAGGGTATGCTGCCAATTTCAAAACTCAGGTTTCTCCAGAAGCAGATCTCTATCAGCCACTGAAACAAGCCAGCTATCAGAAATGTCCAGCTGAATCCTCCAGATTAGGCATAAGGTGTTTTCCTCACAGCATCTCCTTAATACCCATCCCTTAACTTCAGTATCACATTATCCATGAATCAAAACCTGGCCTTCCCATTTCTTGCCTATTAACCTTCTTGCATTTTTCTATCCATTCTTCTTGATGTGAGAAGATATCTTTTCCAATAGCATGCTTTGCCTGCTTGCTTTTCTTCAGTAAAAACTAACTGTACTGCTGCCACTTGTTATTTCTGCCATAGGCTGTCCAACCTCTTCTCTTCCTTCACAAGGTTCTTCTGGAAAAGACTTCTAAGACTCCCACTACTTCTCAGCACTTAGACAGCAAGAGATTATTTCCTTCATCCAGAGAGAAACACTACTAGACAAGGCCAGGTTAGCTCATCTATTGTCCAGACTCAGAGGATACTCCCTGTTCCTAGTCCATCTGCTTATGTTCAAGGCCAGCACCCCACCATGGAGCAATCTCTCCCCTGAGTTTGGATTGCAGAAAACAGGCTCTAAAGAAGGCACAAGGGAGATCTGTTCTCCCTCATGTAAGAACAGTGTTTAAGAGGAGGCTCTTACCCCAGATATCTGCCTTGGTGACACTGCAGCTGCTTGTGCCTGGCCATATCCAGGCTGTAACCTACAGGCTTAATATCCTTACTTGACCTTGGACGTGCCTTGACAGTACAGACTTCCTTGGTGACTGCTGGGCTAGCACTGATGTGGGTTACTACCACCAGACCTGCCCCTGACCTGCTGACTTTCCTTTTCAGCTTGACAGTGGACCTACCATGTTGGAATGTGTTTGTCTAGCTATCTGGATTCTGGCTGAACTTGGCTATACACAGCTCTGCTCATCCTGGATAGGAATATAGGGCCCTACATGACCTATAGCCATGCTCAGCTCTACTTCCCTTATGGAGCAACCTACTTTTCCCTTTCTTTAATATATCTCTGCCCATTCTTCCAACTACTGAGACTTAAAAATCCTGACCAGCCTCACCTGCAACTCCCCTACCAATCCCAACTA